GTACATAGATACATACATACAGGCATACATAATACATACATAAGTACATACATAATGCGTACAACATACAGACAGACAGACATACATACATATATACATATATATATATGTATAGTTATACACACACACACACACATATATATATATATATATATATAGACGCACGCACGCACACACGTGTACACACACACACAAATACATACATACATAAAATACACACACACACATATATATATATATATATATATATATGTATAATATATATAATATATATATATATATATATATATAGTATGTTGAGTATGTATTTGGGTGTGGGTAGGCTGAACTACGTATGTTTAGTTGATCATTCGTGTGTGTATGCGCGTGTCGTTAACTGAGTGAATAGACCTGTGTGTATGGTGTGGGTTTGTTTTTGTGCTTGGGCGAGGAATAAAATAACAGAAAGACGTAGCGCGCATAAACTCCTCCAAGTAGCACCACATCGTACCTTATCCAGCATGTTTCTGAGTTCTTCGCATTTCACCTCGAATGCACTCTCTCCGTCGGTAGCGTTGTCAGAGGTATTCAGCTTACTTAGCGATGTTAATTTAGATTCGATGTCGTTCTCCATCAGACGCACACGGCGCTCATGTGTGCTCAAAGACATGTTGTCACTGACCGCACTAGTATGTAGTTTATATGTGATTGAAGTATTGGAAGAGAAATGAGGTATGATATAATCTCGACAGATTAATAAGCACACGGGTGTTCCTTTAAATACCACTCGCAAAAATATCTAGATAACCAATGTGTACATACTACATACATAACTACTTATCGTAATCTGTCTACGTCCAGAGTTTATAGATTATATTTTTTGACTTCAAATGTATTTATTTGTATTTGTACACTTTTTGTAGTATTAAAACTGACACTGACGTCCGGACTGACAGTGATGTCAAATTTTTACTCGGCACCTCTGAAGTCTGAGCCCGTTCGTTTGTATGTACCTGTGTGTGTAAACTATTCACAACATTTTTAGCTAAAGCTTGTGGTAATATCTATTAAAAGTACATACGCTACTATTTATTAATTTCTGATGCAAGACACAATAGTGGCGATCGTTGTTGTGTAAAAGAATGCACGATCACGCAACCAACGTCAAGTGCACACTAGTGTGCTGGTTGACCGCAATATGCATGCAATTTGTGGCGTGCACATTGGCGAAGGGTATGGCTCAATGGGTTGCTGCTTGTCTACAGATAAATGTCAGGCACCAGATCAATAACACACCGACTAAACCAGACAACTCGACACAAACTGCATCTGTAGCGATCGAGCCAGACAAAACAAAACAACACAGACTACTGAATAAGGAGAGCGCCTTTGGTAGCTCTGTATCTGTCCCACAAGTCAGTCCCTGAACCTGGTAGGGTGAACCTGCCCCAGGCGTGTCTACCTCTTTATATGTCCAAATTCTTTGTACCAGAACTAGATCAAATTAGGCGCATGTAGGCATTATATAAGTTCATCCATACCCAACAGACCTTTCTGGCATTATAGCATACTACTTTAATGGTCTATGGGGGGTTATATATACGCTTATAGCGAGTCTGGACGTATATATCGGGTAGCTCACATTCTCACTGGTATAAAGGGTACTGGTTAGAATATGAGGTACCCGAAATACACATCCAAACTCGCTACATGCGCACAAATAACCCTCATAGACCATTAAAGTAGTATGCTATAATGCCAGAAATGTCTGTTGGGTATGGAATTATGGATGGGCATGTTAAATGCTTGCGGCCTAGTTTGACTCAGTTCTGGTACAAACTGGAATCTTTCAAAACTTTTAAACCAATGGTCCGATCGGGATGAGATTAGCATGCGTTTCTTACTCGGCAAGACGAAGAATTTGTTGTATCTGACGTCCAATGAAATAGATTTTTTAATATACCGCTGGGTCAACCTCTATACATATTTACATAGTAAAAATTCCAGGGTTCCTACATACTTCCTCCGTCCAATATTTGATGTTTTCTGCTCCTATTGAGTTTTATTCATGGCATTCTATTACAGACATTTTTTTAAAGATAGGCCTATCTGTGGCATTCATATCCCGAGCAAATTCAGAATTTGTTAGAAAGCCCGATGTAAGTTATAAGAGAAGTCCTGGTACAGGGCGAACGAGAAGCCGCCATTCCTCGATACCTTAACGGTTGCTACATCTATACTAGTTTTCAGTATCATCGCATCGTTACTTGAATTTTTTGTACACACACACTCACCACACAGCAACGCATATATACACCATAGAAACGATGGTAGTTGGACTGCTACAGCTCACATATCCGATTAAAACAGGAACGTGTAATGCACAATTGCACGCTCGTAATCTTGCGTTGGTGGATGAATGCGCAAGTATAGCATCCAGGAAGAAGGATCAACGATTGTGTATCTGTCTAGAAACACAAGATATGATCACACGGAAGGATATACTCGGCACACAGGGGTTCAATCTATACTGTGGTATTCTGGCGTCTTACTATGAGTATGTATTACGGTTGTAAATATATTCAAATGTCCGTATCGGCTCGACCGTTCGTAAGTTGTTCTTTTCAATATACTTTTAATTACTATATACCCTGTGTTGTATAAGGTCTGGAATAGCAAGATATGATCACACACGGAATGATATACTCGGCACACAAGGATTCAATCTATATTGTTGTATTCCGGCTTCTTGCTATGAGTACGTATTGTGGTTGAATATACATTCGAATGTCCGTATCGGCTAGAGCATTCGTAAGTTTTTCTGATCCTTGTACTTTTCAGTGCTATATACTCTATGTACTGAAAACTTGTATATACAGTGCCTGCTCTACGCGTGGCTTAATGAGTTTGTTAATCAGGCAGAATGATCACGACGGCTGACGTCGATTGTTCGTGTTATACAAACACACTCACACAATCACACACATACACACACAGACACACACGCACACACGCACACGCACACACACACACACACACACACACACAC